AGGACGTAACACAAAGCTTGTTTACTACTTGTGGCATTGAAACTGAACTGAGTATTCACGTAAGCCATTTTGCTTCAGTTTTATACCAGAGAGATGATCATAATAATAATAATATTTATTCTGAAAATAATATTTTTACAGAATTCACACCAGTTTACAGGCATGATCAGATTCTTATGCAAATCAACATTTAATGTAGGGAACAAACGTGAAATATAAGATAGTTTTATGTTTGCTAGTTTAGTAATTGATAAATAGTTTATATATGGCAAGCCAATGCAACACCAGGGAACTTGTCATTTTTTTATTAAGTGGATAGCCTGATGTTCTGTAAGGTTATTTCTAGTGCCAAAGCGAGTTATTGATCATTATCTACAACTAGAGAAAGTAAGATTAAAGCAAAGAGCACGGAACAACAAAACAATGATAGCATGTAAGAGGTTAAACATTTAAAGTTCCGATAATCCCATTTGTGGAGTAAGTCTGTAAGTAAATCACTTCATTACGCTCATTTCCGTTCTACCTCCAACAGAATTTCTCCATAAAGTTTGATTGGCTCGGCGTTCTATGTGTTATATTTGAAGATCTTGGCCTTTCCTTTGCGTATGATATCGTACACACGTTCTTTACAATTACAGCTATCTAAATCGATATAACATTCAAACACTTTTGCTAAAGACAATAAACACTCGAAACACTGAATAACAAATTGTATTAACACTTCAGGTTCAACCATCAACTTCAAATGTCGGGCAAAGTCAGAGTTTGTATCAGTTAAGGTATTTGCTCCCATGACCATGTTTATTGAAAATCAGTATCTTTACCTATTCTGGAAGAGGACAAACCGACTTCCAGCTGAAGAGTAAAATAAGAAAAGACAATGGAAATCAATAGGGCATACATCGAGAAAATCATGAAACGGCATCACGAGGTAAGTGCTAAGATGGAATCTTGAAGAGAAACGGAAAAGTGGAAGACCAAAGAAAACATTGAGTCGAGGATTGGAGGCAGACATGAAAATGATGAATAGCAACTGGAAACAACAGGAGAGGATTGGTCAGAATAGGGTTAGATGAAGAATGTTGGCGGTCAATCTATTCTCCTCCACCACGGTTAACTGGCTTGAGTGAGTGAGTAAGTACGTAAACCCTACTTACTAATAGCGATGAGAAAATCAAAAATAATTTTCGTTCTAAGCCATTCACTTGTTATCCGTCAAGAAATGACCCATGTCCTGATTCAACAGAAATCGTGTTATGGTACCGATGTTGAGAAAGGTTTAGACGAAAGGTTATGGAAAGCTCTTTGACACCTTTTTCAACAATTATGCGTTCTAGGGGGAGAAGAGTCTGTTCTCTCTCCCGCTCTCTCGAAATGCTCTCATGTGGCCACGCGTATACAACCACTATCAGGGTACTCCTACTCACTGCGTTATAGTGGCGTGGGTGTAGTTTACGAAAAAATTTATAGGATAAAAAGCGAATGTCCGAATTTACATTGAACAATGCTCAAATATGACTATATAGAATTCAGTCAGTGTGTACTTCTGGATGACAACAGAAATATGATCAAATTTCTTCAATAGCTTATCTATTCATTTCAATATGTAAAGTCGATTACATGTTCATGTAGGACCTTTTGCTTCAATGTTATACCAGAATCTCTCTGCCCCACTTCGAAATCACGGATACTAGCCTCAATATTAGGTCAGCCAGCATATCGTGTCAAGGTCTTAACCTACATTAGACAAATTATCCTCAGCTGGAAAGTGTGTAGACAGATCAAGGACGTAACACAAAGCTTGTTTACTACTTGTGGCATTGAAACTGAACTGAGTATTCACGTAAGCCATTTTGCTTCAGTTTTATACCAGAGAGATGATCATAATAATAATAATATTTATTCTGAAAATAATATTTTTACAGAATTCACACCAGTTTACAGGCATGATCAGATTCTTATGCAAATCAACATTTAATGTAGGGAACAAACGTGAAATATAAGATAGTTTTATGTTTGCTAGTTTAGTAATTGATAAATAGTTTATATATGGCAAGCCAATGCAACACCAGGGAACTTGTCATTTTTTTATTAAGTGGATAGCCTGATGTTCTGTAAGGTTATTTCTAGTGCCAAAGCGAGTTATTGATCATTATCTACAACTAGAGAAAGTAAGATTAAAGCAAAGAGCACGGAACAACAAAACAATGATAGCATGTAAGAGGTTAAACATTTAAAGTTCCGATAATCCCATTTGTGGAGTAAGTCTGTAAGTAAATCACTTCATTACGCTCATTTCCGTTCTACCTCCAACAGAATTTCTCCATAAAGTTTGATTGGCTTGGCGTTCTATGTGTTATATTTGAAGATCTTGGCCTTTCCTTTGCGTATGATATCGTACACACGTTCTTTACAATTACAGCTATCTAAATCGATATAACATTCAAATACTTTTGCTAAAGACAATAAACACTCGAAACACTGAATGACAAATTGTATTAACACTTCAGGTTCAACCATCAACTTCAAATGTCGGGCAAAGTCAGAGTTTGTATCAGTTAAGGTATTTGCTCCCATGACCATGTTTATTGAAAATCAGTATCTTTACCTATTCTGGAAGAGGACAAACCGACTTCCAGCTGAAGAGTAAAATAAGAAAAGACAATGGAAATCAATAGGGCATACATCGAGAAAATCATGAAACGGCATCACGAGGTAAGTGCTAAGATGGAATCTTGAAGAGAAACGGAAAAGTGGAAGACCAAAGAAAACATTGAGTCGAGGATTGGAGGCAGACATGAAAATGATGAATAGCAACTGGAAACAACAGGAGAGGATTGGTCAGAATAGGGTTAGATGAAGAATGTTGGCGGTCAATCTATTCTCCTCCACCACGGTTAACTGGCTTGAGTGAGTGAGTAAGTACGTAAACCCTACTTACTAATAGCCTGATGTTCTGTAAGGTTATTTCTAGTGCCAAAGCGAGTTATTGATCATTATCTACAACTAGAGAAAGTAAGATTAAAGCAAAGAGCACGGAACAACAAAACAATGATAGCATGTAAGAGGTTAAACATTTAAAGTTCCGATAATCTCATTTGTGGAGTAAGACACTTGCAGGCGCTAGATCATTTAATGCATTTTCAGAGGAGCAAAGGGCATTGATTGAGCGAACAAACAATGGGAGAGCGTTTAACATACGGATAGTTTGAGGTAGATTATTAGAGCGCCTAGAAAACTTACAGGTAAAATAATTCATATAGAGAGAAGATCTAGAATGTGTTTCTTTCGCTAAAGACAAAGAGTTATGAATGTCTTAATGTGAAGCTTTAGCATATTGAATCGCCTGGCTGGATGTGAAGGAGAGTTTGTTAAGTATTTTGAAAAAGAAGATAAGGTTAGGTTGAGTCTCCTCTTCCATAAAGAGTCAAACTCTAGTTTACTACACCTCGAACTATATGTCAAGACACTATCAGTTCCAAGAGTACGAAATGTAAATCGTCTCTGTACTGATTCCAGTCTTAATTTATCCTTTATGCGCGTGGTACTAAGGAGAAACGAGCAGTATTCGAGGAGTGGTCGAACACAAACTTTGTACATTAATATACGAGATTCGCTGTTATGAAGTTTTCGAGTTATGAAACCTATAAGGCGATGAGACTTGGACGTTTGTTTCATTAGCTGTTCAGTAAACGACAAGTCATCGGAGTACCTAAGTCCTAGATCTACTACTGTGTGTAACCTAGATAACATTTTCCCATTTATGGTAAGATTAAGGTTCAGTGATGTATCACCGAAGCATAGCCAACCACATTTAGCTGTATTGAGCTCCAGTTGCCATTTTGAGCACCACTGTGCTACCTTGTTAAGCTCCGTGCTGATACAATTTCGAATATTGCTCAGCTCATGTGGAGAAAATGAGTACACCACCTTAAGATCGTCTGCAAACAAAAGGGACTTACCCACACTAAAACACTAACAAATATCATTCATGAAAACTGAAAAGAGCAAAGGACCTAAGACACTACCCTGAATTACCCCACTTCTAACAGGGACGGTGTAGCTGTAAATAATTCCCCAAAATCAATAGCTCATTAAGTGTTCGACATTGTATGCTGACCACGTTGTTTAAGTGGACTTGTTTAGCTGAAGGCTTTCGGTCATGCATCCGCACCAGATCACGTTTCAATACTGCGTGGGACACAGCTCCTACGTTTCATTAGCCAGCTCATAGAAAAGGTACTCGATATATTGGTAACGAATCAAATATATCTTTCCTGCCTATTCTCGTCCGACTTCTGATTTTCTATCTGACTGGAAACAACCGAATTTAGAAGGTGCTACTGGTATCTAGTTGTAAAACTAGAATATCCGTTGCATCATCATTGGGTGATCTGTAGCTGTAAATAATTCCCCAAAATCAATAGCTCATTAAGTGTTCGACATTGGATGCTGACCACGTTGTTTAAGTGGACTTGTTTAGCTGAAGGCTTTCGGTCATGCATCCGCAGCAGATCACGTTTCAATACTGCGTGGGACACAGCTCCTACGTTTCATTAGCCAGCTCATAGAAAAGGTACTCGATATATTGGTAACGAATCAAATATATCTTTCCTGCCTATTCTCGTCCGACTTCTGATTTTCTATCTGACTGGAAACAACCGAATTTAGAAGGTGCTACTGGTATCTAGTTGTAAAACTAGAATATCCGTTGCATCATCATTGGGTGATCTGTAGCTGTAAATAATTCCCCAAAATCAATAGCTCATTAAGTGTTCGACATTGGATGCTGACCACGTTGTTTAAGTGGACTTGTTTAGCTGAAGGCTTTCGGTCATGCATCCGCACCAGATCACGTTTCAATACTGCGTGGGACACAGCTCCTACGTTTCATTAGCCAGCTCATAGAAAAGGTACTCGATATATTGGTAACGAATCAAATATATCTTTCCTGCCTCTTCTAAAAAAAAAAAAAATACTGGTATCTAGTTGTAAAACTAGAATATCCGTTGCATCATCATTGGTGAGCCCGACGTGATCTGGTACACCAAGTCAATATACTGTGAGTCTGTTCCATTTTGGAATATTATTATTTATTGTTATTCTTTATTTGAATTTTATATATTGTGATATACCTTTTTTTTTCTCGGATATATTTTACTTAGACATTTTTCGATATCTATATTACTATGACGGAACACTCTCCTAAGGTTCTTAAGTTAAAGTCTATTCCCCCTATTTCGATTCAGTTAACGCCATTTTGGCCCGACAATATCGAGTCCTGGTTCTGCTATGCAGAAGCCGATTTTTGCATGCACGGAATCACGGACTCGCGCACACGTTTCCTCGCGGTAGTTAAGGCGTTACCGCGCGAGTTTAACAGGTACGTAACACCTAGTATGTTTACTAGTGATGTTTCCGAACCTTACGAATCGCTTAAGCTATCGATTTTAAAACGAGGAGACCTAACTGATCGACAACGGTTAGACCAACTCCTTAATAATATCGACTTGCAACATGGTTCTGCGACGGACATGTTGCTTAGAATGAAAGAAGTCATCGGCCAACGAACTTTCGATGATGGCCTATTTAGACAACTTTTCTTGTCTAAACTCCCTCAACAGGTGCAGGCAGTGCTTGTTTCATTTCAAAACAATGCCATAGATGAACTAGCTGCATCTGCCGATCGAATCTTGGAAATCACTAGATCTTCTAAGGCCGAGGTATTTTCCGTCAAAGAAAAACCCCAATCGACCTCGACTGACATGGCCGAACTATGTCACACGCTTACACGATATCTTAGAGTTCGCAATGACCGTAGTCGGTCAAAAACCCCGCGTAGAAGTGCCTCACGTAAGCGATCTGGCTCTCGACCACGAGAGACAGACAATCCCGACTGGTGCTGGTATCATAACCAGTACGGTAAGTTTTCCAGAAATTGCAGGAAACCTTGTAATTATCCGACCCCAAAATCGAGTGACACGAAAAACAGTTCGGGAAACTTCCCAGCCGGCACGCGTTAACGGCAACCGTAGCCGGCGAACACAGCCGCCTCTTATATGTCACGGATGTGACTACGAAAGTTCGCTACCTCGTCGACACTGGCGCAGAAGTTAGCGTTCTTCCAGCAAATCTCGACGACAGACTTCGCGAGTCTGTTTTAAGTTTACAGGCGGCAAACGGAAAGCCGATCGCTACTTACGGTAAAAGGTACGTCTACCTTAACGTGGGTTTACGTAAACCCATACACTGGATTTTCGTGGTTGCAGATGTCTCTATGCCAATCATTGGTATTGACCTGTTACAACACCACAATCTACTCATCGACACACGCTCACGAAGGTTAATAGACGGAAACACTAAGTTGTCCGTTTGCGTAACTCCTTGTTCTGGTTGCAGGTTATCCCCAGTCACGATTAAGCACGCCATAGACCCCTTGTACCAAGCAGTACTCGACAAATACCCCGGGATATACCAATCGCAATCGAAATTACCTTGTGTAACCAGCAATGTTACACATCACATCTCGACTACAGGACCACCTGTATTTTCGAAAGCCCGAAGACTCGCTCCAGAAAAACTTAGGTTAGCTAAAAACGAATTCAACCACATGATGGACCTAGGAATAATTCGACCATCGAATAGTCCATGGGCATCCCCATTGCACATGGTCCCTAAAAAGGACAGCAATGATTGGCGGCCAACTGGTGATTATCGGCGTCTGAATGCTAAAACCATTCCCGATCGTTACCCGCTGCCTCATATTCACGATTTGACAGCTACCTTGAAGGGTACAACTGTCTTTTCGAAAATCGACTTGGTTAAAGCTTATAACCAAATCCCGATGGCACCTGACGACATTCCTAAAACCGCCATCATCACTCCCTTCGGTCTTTACGAATTTCTACGAATGCCTTTTGGTTTAAGAAACGCGGCTCAAACCTTCCAAAGGTTTATAGACGACGTCTTCCGAGGTCTCAACTTCGTACATGCGTATGTTGATGACTGTCTAATAGCAAGTCCGGACAGAGAATCGCATCTCAAGCATCTGGACATTGTTTTCGATCGACTTCAAAGGCATGGCATTACTGTCAACATTCAGAAATGCCAAATCGGAACTAACTGCTTAGACTTCTTAGGACACACCATTGATGCCCAAGGCATCCGACCCCTTAGGAGCAAAGTGGCGGCCATTCTGGATTACCCAGAACCGACCACGATCAAGCAGTTACGAACTTTTAACGGACTCGTAAGTTTCTATAGACGGTTCATACCTAAATGCGCATCCCTAATGAAACCGTTAACCGATCAGCTTCGTGGAAATGCGAAATCAATTAGTTTAGACGACATAGCCCGTAAAGCATTTTCCACAGTTAAGGAACACATCGCTAAAGCAACCTTACTTGCTCATCAGGACAGTCAAGCGCCCATTAGTATCGCCGTAGATGCATCCGACTCAGCAATCGGAGCAGTCTTACAACAATGGGTTAACAACTCGTGGCAACCTTTAGGATTTTTCTCGAGACGGTTGCTAGACGCTGAATCTAGGTACAGCACGTTCGGTAGGGAACTCCTAGCTATGTATTGTGCTGTACGGCATTTTCAACATTCCATCGAAGGAAGAGAATTCACGCTCTTTACCGATCACAAACCTCTTACCTTCTCTTTAAGTTCATCTTCAGACAAGTACTCACCAAGAGAGTCTCGACAACTCGACTACATTTCGCAGTTTACTTCAGACATACAACATATTTCTGGAGCAAACAATGTAGTCGCAGACGCCTTGTCTCGAATTAGCTCCTTGAACAGTTTCCAAGGAATCGACCTTCTTAAACTCGCTCAGCTTCAAAAAGAAGACATTGATCTTCAGCATTAGTTATCCTCGACAACTCTTAAACTAAGTATTAGGCAGATGGGAACAGGTAAGGAAACCTTACTCTGTGACACATCTACAGGTAGGGATCGTCCAATTGTACCAAAACACTATCGCCGCAACGTCTTCAATACGTTGCACAATCTTTCTCATCCAGGTGCTCGTGCAACAATCGAACTTATAGCCGAACGCTTTTGTTGGCCTGGCATGAATAAAGACGTGAGGGATTGGTCACGCTCCTGTGTAAGCTGTCAGAAATCTAAGGTAATCAGACACAACAAATGCCCCTTAGGTTCTTTCAAAACCCCTGACGCTCGTTTCGACCACGTCCATCTAGATTTGGTAGGACCCTTACCCGACTCGAACGGATACTCATATCTCCTAACATGCGTAGACCGTTTTACTCGATGGCCAGAAGCAGTACCGATTAAGGACATTACTGCTGAAACAGTGGCTCGCACTTTCGTCGAACGATGGGTAGCAAATTTCGGCTGCCCTTCAACCATCACTACAGACCGCGGACGCCAGTTCGAATCTGGACTTTTCCGTTGTCTGACCACACTTTTAGGAATCACGCGCTTCCGAACGACCGCCTACCACCCACAAGCAAACGGGTTGGTAGAACGTTTTCATCGACAACTAAAAGCCTCATTATCAGCTTCAAACGTTTCACAGTGGACAGACGCTCTTCCACTCGTCTTGCTAGGTATCCGCAATGCAGTGAAAGCTGACATTGGATACACGGCATCTCAACTCGTTTACGGAACGACACTCCGACTCCCAGGAGAATTCGTGGATCCTTCAGCTTCTTCATTGAACATGGATCTAAACTCTTACACGAGTAGGCTTACAAACGCTATGCGTTCAGTTAAACCTGCTCACACTCGACCTCAATCAACTGATGTTTTCGTTCAACCCGAACTACGACATAGTACACACGTCTTCGTTCGTCGAGACTCACATCGACGACCCCTCGAATCAGCATACGAAGGACCCTTCAAAGTTCTTCAACGCGAACCTAAGTACTATGTAGTCGACAAGAACGGTACGAAAGATAGCATCAGTATCGATCGACTCAGAGCTGCGTACCTAGAAGGAAACCCTAGCTACGTCGATTTTCCTTCGGTACAAGCAAACGACACAGCTACTACACTCGTAGTACCCTACACGACAACCGACACACAACTTGATACTTCGTCAACGTCGATAGAAAAACCTAAAACAACGCGTTCTGGAAGACGAGTAAGATTTCCAGAACATCTTAACGAATATTGCACGTAGGACATAAGCTTTATCTGGAATTACCCTTTCAACGTTTATTATAAATTTTTTTTTAATATGCTCATTTTTTATTTATGTAAAAAAAAACAACAAAAAAAACATTTTTTTTTGAACGTATATATATATATATTTATATATTAAAAAAAAAACTCAAAAGAAAACCTTTTTTCCGATCGCTTTTACGCTGTTTGTAAGTGTATCAGTTTATCTTTTCCCGCTCATCTTGTGTCCTTACGCAAGTACGAGTGTATTTTTGACATGCACTCACACGTTTTATTTTTCCTCTTTTCCAGGACGGCTGGAAAAGAACGACGAAGTTTCGCAAGGAACAGAAATTTTCATTGTACTATATTTCTTTATTTGCTACGTTGTACATTTTGGTCCCATAGTTTAAGGAAAGACGACCAGACGCTGCTAAACGAAGCAAGCTATCAGAAGAGTGTTTACCAACGACAAATTCGTTGGGTTTAAACTTCTGGCTGGTCACGTCTTAGGGACATCACTACCTCACTAGGGGGGGAGTGATCTGTAGCTGTAAATAATTCCCCAAAATCAATAGCTCATTAAGTGTTCGACATTGGATGCTGACCACGTTGTTTAAGTGGACTTGTTTAGCTGAAGGCTTTCGGTCATGCATCCGCACCAGATCACGTTTCAATACTGCGTGGGACACAGCTCCTACGTTTCATTAGCCAGCTCATAGAAAAGGTACTCGATATATTGGTAACGAATCAAATATATCTTTCCTGCCTATTCTCGTCCGACTTCTGATTTTCTATCTGACTGGAAACAACCGAATTTAGAAGGTGCTACTGGTATCTAGTTGTAAAACTAGAATATCCGTTGCATCATCAACGGCATTCGACAATGAAGAGTTCATTTTAACAATTTGATGTCGATTGCTGAGGAAGGAATCAAACCAGGCTAGTAACGGGTTTTCCACCCCATAAGATGCGAGTTTACCTATGAGAAGTTGGTGGTTGACCATTTCGAAGGCCTTAGAAATGTCCAGGTATAACACTAATACTAGATATCCTTGGCTACGAAGCGAATAGACTAAATTAAAGAAGTCAAAATGACATGTCATACAAGATCGATTTTTAAGAAATCCATGTTGCGAATCACCAATAAATTGTTCAGTCAATAAATAGTTGGATAGTTCGTCACTAATAATTTTTTCCATAATCCTAGAGATAACTGGAGTAATATTTATTGGCCGATAGTTGTTCATGTCAGTCTTATCTCCGGATTTGTAACGTGGTATGATGTACGCGGTTTTCCAACCGTCAGGATAAGAGCATGATGCCGTAGAGAGAGTAAACAGCTTAAAGAGAAGAAGTTGGATATCTGGACCACCATATTTGTAGAGAAATGATGAAATCCCGTCTGCACCGTGACCTTTCGAAACCTTGAGCTTATTTATAACCTTACTAATTTTCAGACATGTGAAGGAGATAGATTCAATTGAGTTACCAGTCAAGCATATAATTCTAGAAACAGAGCCATTTATGGATTCTTTGCCATTTGCAAAATTACCACTGAAAAGGTCTGCTATAGTTTTTGGGTCATATATAAAACTACTATTATGCAGGATGCATGGTATATCAACATTTTGAGTTGATTTAGCACGTTTATTGTAAAGGTGGATTAGGTTTTGCACTTTTGAGCTAGTGCTTAGTGCTAATAGCTCTTCATTGATGGCTTTTAACCTATGTTTCTCTTTAATTTGGTTAAAAATTATTGTTATTTGTGTGACTGCCGTGAAGTCGTTAGATTTAAAATAACGTTTCTGATGATGCGACGGATATTCTAGTTTTACAACTAGATACCAGTAGCACCTTCTAAATTCGGTTGTTACCAGTCAGATAGAAAATCAGAAGTCAAACGAGAAGAGGCAGGAAAGATATATTTGATTCGTTACCAATATATCGAGGACCTTTTCTATGAGCTGACTAATGAAACGTAGGAGCTGTGTCCCACGCAGTATTGAAACGTGATCTGGTGCGGATGCATGACCGAAAGCCTTCAGCTAAACAAGTCCACTTAAACAACGTGGTCAGCATCCAATGTCGAACACTTAATGAGCTATTGATTTTGGGGAATTATTTACAGCTACAGATCACTCCCCCCCTAGTGAGGTAGTGATGCCCCTAAGACGTGACCAGCCAGAAGTTTAAACCCAACGAATTTGTCGTTGGTAAACACTCTTCTGATAGCTTGCTTCGTTTAGCAGCGTCTGGTCGTCTTTCCTTAAACTATGGGACCAAAATGTACAACGTAGCAATAAAGAAATATAGTACAATGAAAATTTCTGTTCCTTGCGAAACTTCGTCGTTCTTTTCCAGCCGTCCTGGAAAAGAGGAAAAATAAAACGTGTGAGTGCATGTCAAAAATACACTCGTACTTGCGTAAGGACACAAGATGAGCGGGAAAAAATAAACTGATACACTTACAAACAGCGTAAAAGCGATCGGAAAAAAGGTTTTCTTTTGGTTTTTTTTTCAATATATAAATATATATATATACGCTCAAAAAAAATAATAAAAATGTTTTGTTTTTTTTGTTTTGTTTTTTTTTTATAAATAAAAAAAAATGAGCATATTAAAAAAAAATTTATAATAAACAATGAAAGGGTAATTCAAGATAAAGCTTATGTCCTACGTGCAATATTCGTTAAGATGTTCTGGAAATCTTACTCGTCTTCCAGAACGCGTTGTTTTAGGTTTTTCTATCAACGTTGACGAAGTATCAAGTTGTGTGTCGGTTGTCGTGTAGGGTACTACGAGTGTAGTAGCTGTGTCGTTTGCT